GCGCCGCATCCAGTGTAGTCAGTCACACAGCATCTCTGATTAAAATGGGTTCTATTGTATTTTATTGCGTCACGCCGCTCGCGTCCGGTGTAAACACGGTGTGAGCCACGCAGATGCACGTGAACACTGAATTCTGTTCACTTCTGCGTCTATTTGTGCCTGAAATACTGTGCTCTGCAAGTATCCTTGTAAACGCAGTTGCTTATGGCTTAGGTGAAGGGAAACAATTGAGAAAGAAAAGGGATGTGTGCAACAGTATATTGGTTTACAGCAGTTTAATGTTCCTGAGGCTTTCTGTGTTATGAATATTAATCAAACAACAAAACAAAGAAAAATCACTTTTGTAGCTTTAACACAGATTTATTAGATTTAATTTATACAGTGAAGGCTATGCAGTGTTACTTTACATTTGATTATTTAATTTCTGTGCCTGAATACTGTTAGACTTACCTGAAAAATATAAAGCACTGCTTATTTCATTTGTATCTTTGTTCTGTTATTTATCTATGCTTGTAATTTGTTTATTTCCTATGCTGATTTACTCGCCTTCAAAATCACCCCAATCACTGATTATTTTTTTTCCAAATAGAGCTATTGAAGTCATCTGATTTTTTTTCATATCGCAATATATATCGCAGAAAAAATAAATATCGCAATGCGAGTTTTTTTCCAATATCGTGCAGCCCTAATTGTAATATTTTATAATTATTAAATAGTATAATTAAAATCACATAATTATTAAATGCTATTAAATGTGTTAAACATTTTAATTATTAAATACTATAATATTATTAAATATATATTATAATATCATACAAATAAATTACATAAATTATGAACCTAATTATTTACTGTGATTTATAGTATTTAATATATATTTAATAATTAAATATTAATTACATATGTAATTATAGTAGTTAATAATGTAAATATTTTCCATTGTAATATTTTATAATTATTAAATAGTATAATTAAAATCACATAATTATTAAATGCTATGAAATGCATTACATTTTTAAATTATTAAATACTATAATATTATTAAATATATATTATAATATCATAAAAATAAATTGCATAAATTATGAACCTAATTATTTACTGTGATTTATAGTATTTAATATGCATTTAACCTTAAATTGAGCAATTATTAAACAGTATAATTAAAATAATTATTAAATGTATATTTTAAATAATTTGATACTATAATAAAAACTACATTGACTATTATTTTATTATTATTATTATTATTAAAAAATTTAATTAATTAAATGTATGTATTTATTCATTGTTTAGCATTTGATTTTATGGTGACCTGGGTATTTTTGTGAAATGCACACAGGCTCTTTTGCTGATAGTGGAGTATTTTATGAGCTTCTCTCTCTTGCACAGGGAAAACGGCGCTGACAGTATACTGGACCTCGGCCTCCTTGACACTCCTGAGAAAGCGCAGGTATGTTGCATCTAAAACCCCAAAGACTCTTCTCTGCTCCTTTGCATCAGGTTAGGTTCAGCTTATGATTCTGGGCTGTTGATCTCTATGGTCTGATATTACCGTATTGGCCCGAATATAAAACAACCCTGATTATAAGACGACCCCCCTTTTTCCAGATGTACCTTTTGGAAAAAGGCTTTTTAAAAACCAAATCTTGTTTTTTCTCAGTAAAACACATTTTGTCTTCAATTATTTTCATATTGCATATTTTTCCTATTTTAATTTTTGTTTTGAAAGTATGGTAAAAACTGGTAAACTGTACCAACAATCACATTTAAAAAATATACACTTTTTGATATACCATTTGAAAAAAAAAAAAAACAGGTAGCCCATCTGAATTAGGACATTTAGGCTATCCATCTAATAGTAGCCTACCAAAATCTTATTAACAGCAGAAGTTAAATCTTACTGTAGTCTTCAAATCTGGGTACTGTCTTACGTTTGAAAATCACAAAGGGAGTTTGGCCGCGATCTTTACAACACGCATTTACGTATTTCATGGCACACTTGTTTTATGCGTATTTGGCGCCACCTATTGTTGTGGGTGTATTATTGACATGTCAAAGTCTAGACCCTGAATATAAGACGACCGTGTTTTTTCAGATGTATTTCCAAGAAAAAAACATCGTCTTATATTCGGGTCAATACGGTACATGTGTGTGATCTAATGGTAATTTTCATGTTCAACCAGCAGGAGAACCGAAAGAGGCACGGTTCGACCCGCAGTGTGGTTGACATGGAGCTGGACGACCCTGATGACGGGGACGATAACGCTCCTCTGTTTTACCAACCCGGCAAGAGGGGCTTCTACTCGCCCCGTCCAGGCAAGAACACAGAGGCCAGGCTCAACTGCTTCCGAAACATCGGCAGGTACGAGACGCACGTTCACCTGAGCATCTGTGTGAGACTGAACCACCGGATGAACTTCTAACTAATGACCCTGATCTTCTGCCTGCAGGATACTTGGCTTATGTCTGCTACAGAATGAACTTTGCCCCATCACCCTCAACAGACACGTCATCAAGGTGTTGCTCGGCAGGAAGGTGAATATCTCAATGTTAATACATTTTGTAATAGTGACAGGATTATCCTCCAAACACTGAGGTTGGGCCCTATGAAATTTATTTTATTTTTTTCCCAAATTCTATTTTCATTTTTCTGGATTCCGTTTTAATGGTTGAATTAAATTTTAGGAAGAGCATGTCTAATTAATTGAACTCGTGAAACTTTGAATTTGAAGTTGTTAAATTGTGTAAGTTTCATGATTTCAATTAGTTACACATGCTTTTTGATTACTGAAATTTAATTAAACTATTAAAACGGAAAACGGAATTTGGAAAAAATAAAAGTCAAATTAAGGGGGAAAAACTGATTTCACAGGGCTTCAATAAGGTAATTTTTGTTATGCAATTTAACAATGGTTTATTAAGTTTAACAACAATGACCTTTTATGGCCCTATGAAGTCTTTATTTATTTTTTAAAGTATTTTTTCCCTAATTTTGTATTAAACCATTAAAATGGAAAATGCTGAATTTGGAAAAAATAAAACAAAACTTAGGAAAAAAATAAAACATTTCACAGGGCCCAAAAAGAGTAATTTTTGTTATTCAATTTAACATCCATTTATTAAAAGTAATAATAAAAGACCTTTTTAGGGCCCTGTGAAATCGGTTTTATTTTTTCTAAACTCTGTTCCCTGTTTTAATTTTTCTGGATGCCGTTTTAATAAAATTATAGTAGAAAAGGCATGTCTAATTAATTGAAATCATGAAACTTACACAGTTTAACAATTTATTCACAGTTTGTTTCATGATTTCAATTTTTTGATTACTAATATTTAATTAAACCATTAAAATGGAAAACACAGAAGGTGGAAAAAAAAACATTTGGGAAAAATAAAACAAACATTTCACAGGGCCCTATAAAGGTAATTTTTTAATGCAAATGTATTATTCCTAGCTTAACAAAAATGACCTTTTTAGTGCCCTATGAAATTTGTTTTATTTTTTCCAAATTCTGTTCTTCTATTAGAATTTTTCTGTGTTCTGTTTTAATGGTATAATTAAATTAATATTCAAAAAACATGTCTAATCAGTTGTGTTCATAAAACTTTGAAATGTTTTATGGTTGTTGTCTGGTTTAATTGTTCTGAATTTATAATTTAATACAAACCTTATCAAAAATGTAAATTAAAATGTAATCAAAAATAAAAATGTAAGTTACTTTTTTTTTTTCCCTTGTAGAATTCCTTGCATTTTTTTTTACTGTAAATGTAATCTTCATGACTAGATTCTGTGTTTTCCGTATCACATAAATTGTAGGGAAGTAATGCTGAGGCTTGTGTTCTCTTGTGCTGCAGGTCAACTGGCACGACTTTGCGTTCTTCGACCCGGTGATGTACGAGAGCTTGCGACAGCTGATTCGTCACTCTCAAACCGAGGAGGCGGAGGCTGTGTTTGCGGCGATGGACCTCGCCTTCGCTATCGACCTCTGCAAGGAGGAAGGCTCTGGACAGGTAACGGCTGCGTTCTCCCTTTGCGTTGGCATTAGAGCTCCGTCTGTGCGCATGACTGAAGGTTTCCTGCTGCATCTGCAGGTGGAGCTCCTGGCTGGCGGGGTCAACATGCCCGTGACGCCTCTGAACGTGTACGAGTACGTGAGGAGATACGCGGAGCACCGGATGCTGGTGGTGGCAGAACAGCCTCTGCATGTGAGCGCACTTCACTTATACTTCTTAACGTCTCAGAGAGCTAGACTTTGACTATCTGGACTGTTATAGCTTATTCTGGACCTTATTTTACAGCATGCACATTTACATTTGTGACCCTGGATCACAAAACCAGTCATAAGGGTCAATTTTTTCGAAATTGAGATTTATACATAATCTGAAAGCTGAATAAATAAGCTTTCCATAGATGTATGGTTTGTTAGGATAGGACAATATTTGGCTGAGATACAACTATTTGAAAATCTGGAATCTGAGGGTGCAAAAACATCTAAATATTGAGAAAATTGCCTTTAAAGTTGTCCAAATGAAGTCCTTAGCAATGCATATTACTAATCAAAAATTACGTTTTGATATATTTACGGTAGGAAATTTACAAAATATCTTCATGGAACATGATCTTTACTTAATATCCTAATGATTTTTGGCATAAAAGAAAATTCGATAGTTTTGACTCATACAATGTATTGTTGGCTATTGCTACAAATATACCCCAGCGACTTAAGACTGCTTTTGTGCTCCAGGGTCACATTTATGCATCTGGCAGATGCTTTTATCCAACGCGACTTCCATTGCATTCAAGTTGAAGATTTTTTTCAATGCATTCCCTGAGAATCGAACGCATGCCAAAAATAGAGAAAAATGTAGAAATGTAAGTGAAGATGTTGTTTTGCAGGCCATGCGGAAGGGTCTTCTGGATGTGCTTCCAAAGAACGCTCTGGAGGACCTGACGGCTGAGGACTTCAGACTGCTGGTCAACGGCTGTGGAGAAGTTAATGTCCAGATGCTCATCAGTTTCACCTCTTTCAATGATGAGTCAGGTACATTATTGCATCTCAAGATGCCCTTTTTCATAAGATCTTGAGTTCAGAATGATTTGAATGTGTTGCAGTTTGGAATCTTTATTCCATTTGTGACAATTAAAACATTGTTTAATTTTTTCAAAATTCCAGTTAGTCACAACTCAAAGCTTATGTTTATTATTTCATGTAAGACTTCAAATGTTTCCATCCATCTATTTTTATGCAAATTTTGGGCCAAGATGAGCATAAAATCTTACAGGTTTTCTGCAGGTCTTAAAAATTCTTAATTTGCCCTTCAACAAATTGTCTTAAATCAGAGCTGAAAGTCTCAAATAAAAAAATTTATTTGCACTTGTAATCTTTAATCAGAAACATTAACCTCCTCTCAATGACATCTCGAAAAAGGTGTTGGACTATGCTGACTGTCCAGTGACCAGGATTTTAGCATCCTTCACTGGGAGTTTGACCAATCATAACGCTGAATCGCCTCAAGCGGCACGTGAACCGATCATCTCTTCCTCTTTACTACTAGTTATAGCATGAAATAAACATGAATGAACATTTCAGTTATGTCGTCTCAACCGTGAAAAGACGACAGGACACCATAGTCCACTGACGTTAATCGCGGATTCGGTGTTATGATTGGTCTGATCGCCTGTCAATCAAACTCCCGGCAAAGGGTGAAATCCCGCCCTACATTCCAGAAGCTGTTTCACTCGGATATACATCACAAAGTTGCATGGCGAATTTAAATCAAGATACATTTACTTGAAATGCAAAATGAAGATATCAAGTCTTGTTTTCTGAGAAATTGAAAACTAAAACCACTAAACTTTTTTTGTTACTTGGAAAAACTGAAATAAAATGAAAAATTAAAATGTTTTATATATATATATATATTTCAGCTAGTTGCCAAGCAATATTTCTATTTAAATTTTTAATTAGTTTAACTTGACGTACTAAAATAAATTAAACTGAAAATAAAATTACAATTGAACTGAAATAAAATGAATAAAAACTATATAGACATTTAAAAAAAAAAAGTGGTAATTAATAAAAATGACAGAAGCACACAAAATCGCTGAAACTTTAACAAATTAAAATGAAAACAGAAAATACAAAAATGAAAAACTAAATCAAAATATTACAAAAAAAAAATTGTGTTCACCACATGGGATGGAAACTGAGCTTTAGTTGCAGATATTTAATACGATACTCCAATATTTCACACGTATAATTTGCAACTGTGGATTGAAACAACTATTAAATATAAAGCACATTTTAGTGGAATATCCAGTTTTCATCAAAAAATGTATTGAATGGACATTAATACATTTCAAAAGTTTCCCATCAAATATCAAAACAAAAAGTTTATATAATATTAATTAGCTGTATTTTTTTTATATTGTTGTAAGGTAATGAATATATATGTGTTTGTGTGTGTGTATGTATATATATAATATATATAACAGTGTAAATATTGTGTATAATTTCGTAAATATTTTTGGTATTGATGTATTTTTATTTTGATTATTTTAATTTGTATTACTCCATGAAAATAACATGTTCTGCTTATATGGCATGAAATAAATCCGATCCGTTTGTTCAAAGTATCCCTAACTGCAGAACGAGTGGTTTGTATGTTCTGCTTCATTGGTAATCGTGTGGTTTTGCTCAAACCTGCAGGGGAGAACGCCGAGAAGCTGCTGCAGTTCAAGCGCTGGTTCTGGTCCATCGTTGAGAAGATGAGCATGACGGAGCGCCAGGACCTGGTAGGACGTTTCTTCCTTTTGCTCTACTCGATACGAATTCATGTAAACCATGCCAGATGTTAATGCATTGCTGCGTGCCGCCCGCAGGTGTACTTCTGGACATCCAGCCCGTCCCTGCCGGCCAGTGAAGAAGGTTTCCAGCCCATGCCCTCCATCACCATTCGTCCGCCGGATGACCAGCACCTGCCCACCGCCAACACCTGCATCTCTCGCCTCTACGTGCCACTTTACTCTTCCAAACAGATTCTCAAACAGAAACTTTTACTAGCCATCAAGACCAAGAACTTCGGTTTTGTGTAGTCGAACGAAACCCGTTTAATCGTTGTGTAATATTACTAGTTCCATTTTTGTAGATTTATTTTTTGTCTATACAATTTTATGAAATTTAAAAAGTGCTGTCGCGTCCCTGGCAGCCTTCTTGTTTCTTTTTTTTAATTTCCGTTATCCGAGTATAACGCAACATTCCTGCATTGGCTTTTGTAAAGTTGAAGCCTGCAGCTCCATTGGCTTGAACTGTAACTTCCCGTGACTTTGGCCTGACGGTAAACTGTCCGCCAAACCCAGCCAAAGATGACCGCAGGAATTATTTAAAGAAAAAGTAAGCGTACACTGTGATTGATTTTTTTTTTCTTCCCTGCCCTAAACATAAATATTACTATCACTGAGCGTTCACTGCTGCCTTTGTGGAAAGTCATTTTTTCTTGTATAGAGGGAGTAGGGAATTTCAAAAATAAACTTGGATGCAAACTAGTGTTGTCCTGCTTCTTGAGTACTTCAGTAACACTTTACAAAAGGCTCATTTGTTGACATTAGTTAACGCATTAACAAAGGTTAATAAATGCTGTAAAAAATATATTGTTCATTGTTAATGTTCACAGTGCATTAACTGTTTGCAGATGCAATTTTTTTTTATCATGTTCTAGTAAATTCTGTATAAGTATTGTTCATGTTAACTAATATAGTTACAATGAGGTTTAATTTGTGTAACAGTGTATTGAATGTCCCACTAGGTCTTAAGAGGCTTCTAATTTTAACACTATTTTTTATTTTTTTTATTTAAAGTTTTCAAAAAATATTTTTTAATTAGTTTTCTGCTTTATTTTTGGCCATGTTTGAAAAGGCATACTTGTAACATTTAAAAAAAAAAATTTTGTTTATATTTTGCATGAAACAAAGCCTCATGCTGTCCCTTCACTTTAGTAAGTGTGTCATAAGATGTACATTTAATTCACGGTAAAAAATGAGCAGTTTCACTTCAGTCCACATGCTGTGCATAGGAAAGCTACTGTAACTACAGAAACACGCCATTTCAAGTACAGACTTGACCATTTTTGAAGTATCGAATATCCGCATGATCTGCTACTTTTGCATTACAACTAAGCACACAGTATTCCATGTGCTGAAACGCAATGCCATTGACTCTACATTTATAGTGTGAAGAATGAAATACTAGTAGAAACGGATTCATTATTTGACTAGACCACCAAGCATTCAGATATTTTTATGCAAAACTGGATTAACTCTGCAAAGCTGTGTATGTCCAAGATGATAATCGAATGCTATTTGTGAAATTAAACATGCAACATGCTCAATATAGTTTACTGCTGTTTGAAACATTTGTTGCACATTAATATACTGATTTGAAAGCTAGTAGGCAGTCTATAAAGCCCCAGTCCTGATGTGATGGAGTGAAACAGATGATGGTTGTTTATGATGGGGATGTTTTGTCAACTGTGCAAGCAAATGTCAAAGAAATGTCACTTCGTTTCATTAAATCTGGTGTCATTTGTCACACTGGTGGCAGAAAACAACTGCAGAAACAGCTGGTGGCTTCATTCAATCAATTCAAATGAAGCCACCAGCTGACTTAAGCCTAAAATTACCTTTAACGTAAAAATATCTAGTAACAAATTCCTTTCCAATTGAAATACAGTAAAAGTAATACTTTGCAACAAGGTCTTGGTAACATTAAAGCATTAACCTTTGTTAATGTTACAAATACTGTAAAAATACAACTATTTTAGTTTAGTGCATTTGACACATCCAACTTTTGATTTTAAAATGTATTAGTAAATGTTGAAATAGATTCAGATGAATCAATACAGTAGAAATAGTTTATTTTAATGTTCTGAACCAAAAAGGTTATTTAAATTACTTTTAAATATCACTTAAGCTGACGCAAATAAATAAGTCTTTGAGCTGCTGAAGTGGATTTTCTCACTGTAGTGTAGAGTCAACGATATTTATCATGTGTACTGTAATGTTCAAAGCAGATTTTAAATCTAGCGGTTCATTCATAAATCCATAGGACCTTGAATTCACGCTGTGGAAATGCAATACAATGTTTAAATCATGTTTATTTTGCAATGACAAAAATACTACGTCTTTAATATAAACAGATGCAAGACTTAATACAAATTGAGTTTCTAATACATTATAACTTTTGAAGAAAAACTTAACACTGCGACTTTTCCGAGCAAACAAATCTTTAAATCAACTGTTTTCTCCCATTATTCACTGTTTCTGCATGCATCTTTCTACAATCAAACAAAGAAATCAAACAGCTGGGTTTCTGCTCGTCTTTGACTATAAAAATAAAGCCATCTTTATACTGACATCAAAGCACGTTTCTTACAAAAGAATTAACTGCCTCTGACAACTTTCAAGCAGCATTTCAGTAAGAACGAGAGCAAGCAGAAGCTGCTGCGCAGTTATGGTTAAACACAAAGATTCGATGAAAAGCTGCACCAGGGCCGGGTCTAGGGTCTAGACAAACATTTCTGTGTCTTTTTTTATTGCTGAAGTGTGTTGAACATTCTTTTTCTGCATTCTACTTTAGACAGTGAATTTAGATTTCCTTCAGCCTGAGGCTTATTCATTTCATTTTGGTGTGAAAAGGCTTTTATATTTGCCAAAAATGCAAACTTTTTAAATATTAAACCAAACAAGCAAGCCCTGCCCAGATTTAAAAAGTAACGCAAAATAACGTAATGCATTACTTTTCATAAAAAAATAACTAAGTAACGTAATTAGTTACTTTTTTAGGGAGTAACGCAATATTGCAATGCATTACTTTTAAAAAGTAACTTTCCCCAACACTGTATATTACACACACACAAAGAAAAACAAATAGATAGAATAGAAAAAATAGAAAAGCTAGTGTGGTTTTTTTTTTATATATAAAAATAAAATTTTGTTTTACGGATTTACTGTCCGTTTCCACCGAGGAAAATCATCCGTTCATGCATTATTGTTTTAGCACCATGAATTTTAATCTTTGGGTGCAATAAACCTTTAAAAAGAGAAACTGGCAGCCTCTTGTTGGGGATGCACTGAGCTTCACCTGTGCTTCTCACGACTTCTGCTCCTCCGGTGTCTGCCGCGCCACCGAGAGCTGTTCAAACACATCAACGTCAAACAAACACTGCTTTAAAAAGCATGCTGGGTCAAATGTGTCAGCACACTTTTTATCCTGATGACTTTAAGGAATGAAGAACATTTAAGGTAATAAACTAAATTATATATATATAAATGCCGTTCAAAAGTTTGGGATCAGTAAGATTTTTAAATTAGTCTCTTCTGCTCATCAAGGCTGCATTTATTTGACCAAAAATACAGAAAAATTGTATTATTGCCATTTAAAATAATGGTTTTCTATGTGAATATCTGTTAAACTGTAATTTATTTCTGTGATCACAGCTGTATTTTCAGCATCATTACTCCAGTCTTCAGTGTCACATGATCTTCAGAAATCATTCTAATATGCTGATTTATTACAGTTTTGCTGCTTCATATTTTTTTGGAACCTGTGATCAATTTTTTCATGATTCTTTGATGAATGAAAAGTTAAAAAGAACATTGTTTATTTAAAATAGAAATCTTTTCTAACAATATAAGTCTTTATTATCACTTTTTATCAATTTAACACATCCTTGCTGAATAAAAGCATTAATTTCTTTTAAAAAAATAAAATTAAAATTACTGACCCCAAACTTTTGAACGGTCGTGTTGCGAAAGATTTCTATTTTGAATAAATGTTATTCTTTTTAAATTTTTATTCATCAAAGAATCTTGAAAAAAGTATCACGGGTTCCAAACAAATATGAAGCAGCAAAACTGTAATAAATCAGCATATTAGAATGATTTCTGAAGATCATGTGACACTGAAGACTGCAGTAATGATGCTGAAAATACAGCTGCGTTTTTGATCAAATAAATGCAGCTTTGATGAACAGAAGAGACTTCTTTAAAACATTACAAATCTTAATGATCCCAAACTTTTGAACAGCAGTTTATATATATATACACACACATTATATTTATATATTTTTTTTATTGTAATTATTATATATATACTAAATTAGTTTGTGCAGTCCAATAAAAATGAAGTTTAAAATAAAAAGTGAAGCTTCATTTATAATTTTTTGTGGAAAAATTTTTTGTAAAACAA